CTCCTCTCAAATTGCTAGTTTAGGGGATGAGTCTTAAGAGACTCCCCAAACAATATAGGCTATTGCTGTTGCTACTGGTTGTCTCTCAGAGCCTGAAGATAAGTCCTTATTGCTGAAGACACCACACACTTCAGACATAGTACTTGGAAGAATCTAACTGACTGAACTGAAAGACTCCTCCATGAGTACTAGCTCACATGGTACTGGAAGATGCTATGCAAGCTGCAAAGGGAGAAAAAGCAACCAAAGAGTCCTACCTAGCTGTGATGCCTACAAAACACAAAAAGGACAATCATGGCAAGATATCCCCAAAGGTATAACAGTGGCACTTTTAAAATAGGAGTAACCAACAGGCACCTTAAGATGGACTTAAGGCCTGCTTGATAAAAAAGAATTCATGCCTGGTACTGTAAGCCTAACCAAATACCAGTGACTAGTGAAATCATAGATCTTAGAAAAGAATCTATTACTGTCACTTTCTCAAACCAGTATATTTTCTAATTGTATTCTTAATACTTATCCTTATACCTAAAGAGATATATAGCTCTCATTCCTTATCAAAGAAACTTGTTTTTGCAGCAGCAGAAGACCATTACAGAAAGCCACAACTGGTCACAATACAGAGAACAAATAATAGCAGGAATCCCAGCTCCACTTGATATATTTGTAACAAAACACCTAAGGCTCAGGGAACATCACAGAACAGGGGTAGAAAGACTATGAGAGCCAGAGAACCAGAAAGTCGGCTGTGAGATTATGTCTTCTATATAGGACAGGGAAACTGCACCCATGAAATCTCAACAGTATAGTAGGCTAAACAAGTCCTGAACAATGACTACCAGTTGACATACCAATATGGCTGGGAGAAGTCTCATATGACCCCACCCACAGATATAGACTGATTAACAAATGCTGAAAAAAAATCAGTCTTTCCTAGATGAGGCCCTAATTGGTTATCTAAGATGTCTATGTGGGGTAGGGTTTAGGGCAGGCATAAATTATGTCTCACTATACGGCCCAGACTGGCCTCAAATTCATAATCCTCAAATTTCAGTTTCCTGAGTGATGAGGTTATAGATGTGTGCCATCACATGCAGCTCAAAACCCAGGTTTAAACATAAAAGATAGAAATGACATTGAACTATACCATGATAAACTTTGTTAGACTAAAGGAAGAATTTCTTTATAGTAAAGCATCAGAGACTAATCTAAATGACCAAGGAAAGATAGGCAAGGTTTCCTGGAGGCATCTGAGACTAGAACTGATTTCACATTTCTGTTATGCCTGAGCTCATTTTCCCCCAGGGGCAGGAAAGACAACATTTGGAAGCATCTTTAGTGTTAGCTGTTTAGTACTTAGTTTCTTCTATTGTAAAATTAGTTCCATGGTTACAAATGGCAATGTCACAGATGATTAGTCATAATGATCCTGAGCTAATCTCTGAGTTTTTATCCCCCTGGCTAGATTTAGAAACATGTGGAGAGTGCGGTAGATTGTCATATTAACACATTCACACTTGAACACCAGATGCTTCCTTGAGTGCTAAGGAAGGAGGGCCAGAAAGTGCAGAAGAGTGCTGTCTAACTCCTATAGATTTCTCCAGTGAAAATATATCTACGGAGTACAAAACCAGAGAGATTAAGAGCCACATATTACTCAGAGCTCTGCAACCCACTGATTTTAGAGATGGGGAAGAAGGTCAAGGATGGAAAAGACTGATGATGTCTCATAGCTAATCAGTGACCAAAATATGACTTGAGCCTTGCACTCTCAATTCTAACTCTGCTTTCTTTCTGAAAATATTTTGGTGCTTATGGGCTTTGGTTTATAGATAATATAATCTAAAGCTAGAATACTGTCCATGGTCCAGCTAAATACAGATTTCTCAAATTCTCTTTGGTATTTGCTGTTGAAAAGTAGAACAAAGAGATAGTTTCTAATGTCTTCAACAAAAGCTGTAACTAGGTTGGTTGCATTGGACTATTCCTCAAAGCAGCATCATAGCACTCCTCTTTTTGTACAGATTAACATATCCATTGTCGTGTCTTGTGTTTTGAGGACATGATGTTTGAGAGTTGGGGAAAATACGGCATACTTCTAAGACTAAAGGACTTCCATGGGGTCTGAGACTAGAAACACTATGAAAAAATTGTCTAACTAGGGAGATCTGTTAATACAGACAATAACAATACTGTTTGCCCTCTTTGAAGATCGAATGATATGACAATCAAATTAGTATGTATATGTGAACAATTATATTTATTTTTTATTTTGCAATACTTTTTTGAGAATCTACCATGTGTCAGGCACTGTGTTATTGATTTGACATCAGTAATTAACAAATGAGATCCCTATCCATGTATGGAATTTACATTTTAGTAAGATAGACGAGCTATAAGTAAATGAATATAGAAATGTGCAATTTACCCAATAGTCAAATGTATAATAGAGAAAAGTAAAATAGGAAGAAGAAGAAGCAATGCAAGCTTAAAAATTTTCATAGAATATTTAAACAACTTGAAGCACCTAATTGGAGGAAGATTTCTCTAGGCAGGGGGAAAATAATTCAAGGTCTCTGTTTGGGAGCATGTCTGGCACGTTCAATGAATAGTAAGAAGCCAGTAGGGGTGGGTTAATAAGAACATAGGAAAAGGAGCAAGAGGTGAAGTCAAATAGTGAGGGGATTGACCCTACATGACCTTGTAAGTAATAACAGTTTCAATTTTTACTTGAAGAGAAATTATGAGCCACTGGAAAGGTCTGAGCAAAGGGGAAAAATACAACCTTAGGTCATAATAGCCTGCCCTAATTATCAAGTGGCGAACAGATTCTACTTAGTTTAGTACTGATAGCATCACATATAATCTAGCTATCATTTTGAAGTACCACTTCTCAAACTTTTAAATGTATTGCAAATTAAGTGGGCGAATGACTAAAATACACAGTCTTACTCAGTAAGTTTGAGATAGAGCCAAAGATTTTGCATGTCTAACAAGGTCTCAGGTGACGCAGATGTTGCTGGCTACAGTACAAATCTTTGAGAAGAAGATGAGAGCTATGGATAGACGAGTAAATGAAAAAAAGAATTTTGAAGGAAGAAATAAAACTACACTTTCTAAAATATCTGGAGCGCATTTAATTATAGTATTACATTTATGATCTAGGGATATAGCTCAGTGATAGTACAGTTACCTAACATGTACAAGGGCCCAAGTTTAAACCTCAGTAAAATTCACATGTAAACGACAACAGTGGATTTACTTAATTCCCACAACAACTTTCACAAGTAGCTATATAATGGAGCCCAAAAGACAAATGAGAAAATTGAGCTCAGAGTATGTGTTTGTCTGATGTGGCGTTACCTTTAAGGCTACAGGGTTAATTTGTGACTAAGTTGAGATATAACAGACAGAACAATTATGTTTCTAGAATCCTTATTCTTTCCACCATATCTTATTGCTTCATGACATGAAGAGGATAATTTTTAATCTACTTCACCAAGAAAAGAAAATGAGCTGAGGTGAAATTTAATACCCCAAATCATCTTTTCAAAACTATACTGTCCAATGTGATTTCAAATAGTAGTGTTATTATTTAAATTTAAATTAATTATATTTCAACAAAAAATTGAAGTCTTCCTTCTCATTAACACCCGCCATGTTTCAAAAGCTTGGCTGGCTAGGAGATGTCTACTGGAGAGAGGAGATAAAAACATTTTCATCACTGCAGAACATTTTGTTAGACAGCTCTAGGGAAACAAGGACTTTGAAAATGTTACAACTATACTCTCAAACAGAAAGTAGGCCCCAGGTTAAGAAAAGAAAATAGGCTCTGATTTCTCCTATGAGGGAAGGAAACAAGGTGAGTTAGTGAAGGTCAAAAGAAAGCTGGATTTGTGTGTGTGTGTGTGTGTGTGTGTGTGTGTGTGTGTGTGTGTGTGTGTGTGTGTTTAAGCTTTTTAAAACAGGGCTAGAGAGACAGCTCTGTGGTTAAGAGCACTGGCTGCTCTTCCAAAGGACCCGAGTTCGATTGCTAGCATCCACATAGTGGATCACAATCATCTGTAACTCTAGTTCCAGGGATCCAATGCCTCCTCAGGTACCAAGCACACACGTACTGCACACAAACATGCAGACAAAGCATTCGTACACATAAAATAGTACATTAAAAACATTTTTAAAACATTCTTTTCTCCATTTTCTGTTGATTTTCTCTTACTGCTTAGTAATAAACCCTTTGGAAATGTTAACTGGCCTTTACTAAGCTAAAGATAGTATGTGGGGGGCAGGAGACTCCCATAGTCTAGAGACCTAGAAAGCATGGAGTTGGGGAATATAGTGACACCAACTAAAGGGGTTGAGGCTCATTGATCTAGCCTTCATCTCCTGTTAATTTCTTTTACAAGTACTGATTTGTTTAAATTAACCACAATGTTTTCCATGTGAGGAAGAGTACTGGCACATCAGGATCACCAGCCATGCTGCTCTTGAAGCTTGAATATGCTCATGGCCTTACCATAGCCCTGGATAACACACAACTTAGGTGGCAGGAGTGAAGACCTTACATCTGCATTTGTAATAAAATGCATAGGGACTCTTCTATACATTCAAGTCTCTTAATTTCTTGCTTAAATTTGCTTCAATGAATGAGGAAGGTTAGGCCTTTGCTGGATCAGAAACCAAGAGGTTAAGAGTAGAGGTTCATAAAAGGAAAGGACAGAGACAAAGAAGAGGAAGACAGGGAGGTAGGGGGTAACAGGACATAAAGTACATACATATTAATGAATTATTGGCAAAGATGGATGAAACATGGGAGAGAAAAAGAAATAAAAAACCCAAAGGATGCACTTTCATCCAATTGAAAACTATCTGGGAGGTCAGTGCAGCTGCCTCTTCTAACGCTTTGGGACTGGAACAGGTAAGTCTGTGCAGACTGTCAGCTCTTTCTAGAAGTGTCTGTATCCCACCACACATGCCCCCACATGCACCACCATGGCTACCTCGCAAATGTCCTTGAGGTGCTTGATGTAATGACGCTCGGTGCTCATGATCTCATTGATGACATTGGCCCGCATCTGGTCCCGGTTCTGAAGTGGCCGGCCCAGACAAAGGCAGTCTGAGTTGGGGTCCAGGTGCCCATTCTGCACATCACTGGGCCCTTCCTCCACCCCATCCTCCTGGTTCACCCAGAGCTGTGGAAGTAGGCAAAGAAAAAACAAATAATAATGGGTTAACCTTCTTTGAGAAATTTCCAACTAAATAGAGAAAGGATAAATGAGTAACTTTGTGTTCACAAAGCCTTCAATCAGAAGCTTTTGAAAACAGAGTACCCAGGACTGACTCTAGGATGTCTTGTTGGTTCTAAGCCTGGCTTCAAATTCAAGAAGATTAACCTACCTCTGCTTCCTGAGTTCTGGGGATTAAAGATATGCACACCCTGCCTGGCTCCTTCCTCTTGCCTTTTTTCAAATGTGTGTAATTGATCCCTTAATACTGACCATTTCACCCAATTAAGAAGTTCTATGATGGATAAATATTCAAAGGAATGGAGTTGGTTTTTAAAAAGTTATTCCAAAACATTGGAAAATGATGCATATACTTAGTTGTATTTATAATAATGAAAACAATTATTCCCTAATATTCTGTTACCTTCTCCCATCCCAGCCAAGGTCAGCATGTGAGATATATTCACTGGGAAGAATTTCATCTCAGAATGCTGTATCAGGCTTGCCAAAGAATCAGGGTAGACTAATGCATACCTTTTCACAAGTATTGTTCACAGATGCTTCAGCTAGCACACATAGGCTCCCAGGTGACAAGTAAAAATATGAAAAATGCCTAGAATCTGTCACACTTCTAGAGGACCTCTCAAAGCACTTAATGGATGATTTCCTCAGCCATCATTGAATGGAAGTAAATCAGGGTTAGTGAAATCAAATTTATCAGTTATCTGTATCAGACATATACTGTGCCTAACCACTACATAACTGTAAAAGAAGCATTGAAGAAGATGACTGAGTTCTCTTTCATTTAGAGCCAATGAAGTCTTTCAAAATCAGAGACAATAACTAGTTCTTGTCCTTCCTTTTCTATTCCCTCTGTTATTGCCTTCATTTCTTTATAATAGGACAAAGTCCCAGGTAAACACTTAGCTCCTACTACCAAACCAGGTCGTTGCCAATGACTTTTATTGGCTAGCCTCAAACCCCAAAATCATCAAAAGCCCCACACTGATTATTATGATGTCCTTCATACTACCATTCAAAATTATCACAATATGGCTCCAACTGTATTTCCACTCCTATCTCCTACTATTTCCTTCAGAAATAATAGGCTTTTCTCAGATTTCTTTTTTTTTCTGCACACAGATTGCAATAGATATGTCAAGCCTATATAGAATGCAGAAATAATATAACCCAAAGACTTTTAAAAACTTAAACAATAGTGACTCAAGCACTCAACTTTCTTATAAGTAAAGAAACTGATCACCACAGACACTGCCAGGGAAAACATCTTTGATATGCCTGTATATATGTGTTTTCTAATGTTTTTAAATTATTTAATCAGTATAAGGAGATATATGCGCCAGGTGGTAGCGCACACCTTTAATCCCAGCACTCAGGAGGCAGAGGCAGGCAGATCTCTGTGAGTTCAAGGCCAGCCTGGTCTACAGAGCGAGTTCTAGGACAGGCACCAAATCTACACAGAGAAACCCTGTCAAAACAAAACAAAACAAAACAAAATGTTGAAATAGAAAACAAGGAAGACTGTGGTGGTTTGAGTGAAAATGGCCCCCATAGGTTCATAGGGAGTGGCGCTATTAGGAGGTGTGGCCTTGGAGTAGGTGTGGCCTTATGGGAGGAAGTGAATTACTGGGCACTGGCTTTGAAGGTTCAGAAGCTCAAGCCAGGCTTAGTGTCACTCTCTCTTCCTGCTACCTGCAGATTCAGATGTAGAACTCTCAGCCACTCCTCCAGCATCATGCCTGCCTGCATGTTGCCATGCTTCCCATCATGATGATAATAAACTAAATCTCTGGAACTATAAGCCAGGCCCAATTAACTGTTTTCCTTTATAAGAGTGGCTGTGGTCATGGTGTCTCTCCACAGCAATAGAAACCCTAAGACAAAGACCCTGATTAGTAGAATCAATGACAAGAATGGCAATATTACACCAGACTTACAGAAAAAAAATCATTGAAAGGGAACAATATGAACAACTGTACAGTAAAAAATCAGTTAAATGATGAAATGGATAAATTCTTAGAAATATACAAACTATAACAGACTCAAGAACAAATAGTAATCTAAGTAGGGCAATAAGAAGTACAAGACTGAATAATCAGAAACTATTCACATGGAAACAGAGGACAAGGTCTGGTGGTTTAAATATTTGAATTGTTCATCTTTGGCAAAAATCCTCAAAACATAAAAATGCAGACACCTCACAAAATGTTAGCAACATTTAAAAAAAAATCTTTCTTATCAAATGGGATTGATCTCTGGAATACAAAATTGGTTTAACATAAGAAAGTCAATGTAATACAACATAATAATAAAGGTTATAAAATCCCACATGCTTATCTCAATCAGCACACTCCTTCATGATTAAAAAAATATTTAAGAATCTAGAAGTAACTTTCTCCAAATGATAATGAGTATTTATGAAAGGTCCATACACTCAAGAAATAAGGATATCTGCTCTTATCACTCCAATCCAATATTGTACTGAGAATTCTAGCAAGAGTAACTGAACAGGAAAAATAAATAAAAAGAATTCAAATTTAATAGAAGATATAAAAACTAACTCTAGTCATGCAATCTTATACATAGGAAATTCTAAAGAATCCACCCAAAAAGATGCTCTAATAAACAAGTTCAGCAATATTTTTAGGATTTAAGATAAATAATTTAAAAATCAAGTGGTGTTTCCAGGCAGTAATATTGAACAATCTATGAATAAAATTAAGAAAACTGATACATTTAAATAGCACCCCCCCAAAAAAAACAAATAATTGAGTGAATTCAACAATTTAACAGTTTTGGACATTTATAGTAGCCTTTCTCTCCAAATAAATTGGTAATTATAAAAGAAGGCAATATCCATTTGGTTGAATCTGAAATGTCTCACCAAAGATTCATATGTTCCTAAAGAATCAGTCCCCAACGTAGCAGTGCTCAGAGGTGAAGCTTTGGGGAAGTGACTATATCACGAAAGTGTTGATTTCATCAACAGGCTAATCAATTGATGGACATGTAATTTGACAGACTATTGAGAATGCTGGAAACAAGAGATGGGACCTAGCTAAATGGAGTAGTCCTTAAGGGTGTGGCCTTGAGGGCTCTATCTTGTCTTCAGTTTCTTCCTCTTCATTCATATTCTCATGCTTTCTCTTGTTGTTTCCATGGTAATGTATTCCTAGGACCATTGTGCTATGCCTCTGTGGTAACCAGCTGATCTTGGGCTGAAGTCTCTGAACCATGATCCCAAATAAACTTTTCCTCCCTTGAAACTGTTTCCTTCAGGAATTTTGTCCCAATGATGCAAAGCCAACTACTATTGTTAGCACCATTATGAGTTCAAGGGAAGTTCTATGAGTCTCTTAGAAAATTACCTTATCTCTTAATTTAGCAATGTGATGTTTTGTGGGTGAAAGATTTAGAACTTTAGGCTACAAAAAAACATTGGATGCTAAGAGCTTGATGGGCTGTTCTGTGGGCGCTTGGAAGATAATGCTGAGAGAAATGTCAATAATGGAGGCCTGGCTTGTGAAGTTTCAGAGAGAAAATTTGAGAATCCTATAAAGACTCTATCAGGCTCTCTCATTTGTGGGAAATATTCAGTCAAGCATCTGTGGAACTGAAGCCTTTGTTTTAATGGGACAATGGACACTGGTTACCTGGTAATGAAAAATCAGCTGTGATTATTAAGAGATAGGCATTTTTGATGCAAAATCTTCTCAGGAGTGTTTGCTCAGGGTTAGCACATAAACGTTTGGTCCAGGCAAGGCCAAGACTACACTTCAAGTTGGCTAAATAACGTGTAAGACTCTCACACATGGTACTAGTTTTGAAGATATGAAGAGGACACAGAGAATAGCTGAATCTCAACACCATGTGGCAGTGCTGGAATCCCTACAGAGACACTCCAAGTGGCCATTAACGAAGGTGGAGTGTCAGTTGCAGTGGAAATTCTAGGACTGAAGAGAGAAAGGTTAATGCTTGTCAACATGTGGCATGGTTAGCATCCCTGAAGAGGCCAAGGGAAGTCATTAGTGAAGGTGCAGCCACAATTACAGCATATATCCCAGCATATTGGATATTAAAGAACTGTAGGATGACCACAAATGGCAGTGGTAGTTTGGAGTAGAGACAGCCTAAGCCTATAAGACAACAGATGGCAAGGCAAGAAAAGTGGGACTCGCCAAACTCTTTGGAATTCAGAAAATCATGAATGAGTCCCAGAGGTCAGATAGTGAGCTTTTTACATTTGGATTTTGCTTTGATCGAATTGTAACTGTGCTCTAGTTCTTCCCTTTTAGAATAAGAAATTGTTTTGTATTTTACAAGAACTTACAGATAAAAGATCTGAATTTTTAAATACATCTTGGACTTTAAATGTGTTGAAAAATTTAAACACTGTAGGACTTTGGTTAAGTTAGACTGTTTTATATTGGGACGTTAATATGAGATCTTGGAGACAGACAAGAAGGAAAAAGTTCTGGTGTAATGTGATGTGTTTGTCTGTCAAAATTGACAAGGTGTGGAAGTCACAGTTAGCTTCACTTGTCAACTTGATATACATAGGAAGAGGGAACTGCAATTAGTATTTGCCGCTATTGGACAAGCTTATGGGCATGTTTGGGGCATTTTCTGATTTCTAATTGATATAGTAAGGTTCAGCTCACTGGAGTTGGTACCATCCCTGGGAAGGTGGGTCTGAACTATTTAAAAGAAAACAGGGTGAGCAAGTCAGGGAGAGCAAGCCAGTAAGCAGCACTCCTTCATGGTATCTGCTTCAGTTCTTGCCTTCAGGTTCCTGCCTTGAGTCCTTGCCTCCATTTCCCTTTCTCCCTAGATGATAGACTGTAACTTGTAATATATATTAAACCCTTTCCTCCCCATGTCAGTTTTTTATCACAGCAACAGAAAAGTAAAGTAGGACATTTCCCCTTTAACCAATATATAAACAC